TACATCATGTGAAATGCCAGGTTGGATGAAGCACAATCTGGAATCAAGATTGCCAGGAGAAATATCAATAACCTCAAATATGCAGATGACACCACCCTTATGGCAGAAAGTGAAGAAGAACTAAAGAGCCTTTTGATGAAAGTGAAAGAGGAGAGTGAAAAAGCTGGCTTAAAACTCAGTATTCAGAAAATGAAGATCATGGCATCTGATTCTATCACTTCACAGCAAGTAGATAGGGAAACAATGGAAACAGTGAGACTTCATTTTCTTGGGCTCCAAAATCACTGCAGATGGTGACTGCGGCCATGAAATTAAAAGACCCTTGCCCCTTGGAAGAAAAACTATGACCAACCTAGACAGCATGTCAAAAAGCTGAGACATTACTTTGCCGACAAAGGTCTGTCTAGTCAAAGCCATGGCTTTTCCAGTAGACATGTATGGATGTGAGAGTTGGATCATAACAAAATCTGAGCACCAAAATATTGACGCTTTTAACTATGGTGTTGGAGAAGACTCTTGTGAGTCCCTTGGACTGTAAGGAGATCCAACCAGTCCATCCTAAAGGAAATCAGTCCTGAATATTCATTGGAAGGACTGATGCTGAAGCTGAAGCTCCAGTGCTTTGGCCATGGATGAGAAGAACTGACTCATTGGAAAAGACCCTGATGCTGGGAAAGATTGAAGGCTGGAGAAGGGGATGACAGAGGATGAGATGGCTGGATGGCATCACCAACTCGATGGACATGAGTTTGAGCAAGTTCCGGAATTTAGGGATGGACAGGGAAGCCTGGCATACTGCAGTCCATGAGATCGCAAAGAGTCAGACACAACTGAGTGACTGAAATGATAGCAACCAAACAATAGGTGTGTAGTGGTAGTCTACTGTTTTAGTTTGCATTTCACTGATGACATATGATGTGGAGAATTTTTGCATGTGCTTATTTGCTATCTATATCAAATTTGTGGGTGGAGAGTTGTTCATATCTCTATACCCATTATTATCCTTTTAGTGTTCCTGTGATCTATAGTAATGTTACCTCTTTCATTCTTAAAATTAGCAATTTATGTTCTCTCTCTCTTTTTAGTAAACCTTATTAGAGGCTTATTGATTGGAGATATAGCTTTTGGATTGGTGATTTTCTCTACTGATTTTCTGTTTTCCATTTAGCTGCTCTAAATCTTCCTATTTTTCTTCTGCTTACCTTGGATTTAATTTGTTGTATTTTTTCTAGTTTCCTGAGGTGGAAACTATTTAGATCTTTCTTCTTTTCTGATATATGCATGCAATGCTATAAATTTCCCTTCAAGCACTGTTTTTGCTGCATCCCACAAATTTTGATAAGTTGTGTTTCATTTGATTAAAAAATACTTTAAAAATTTCTCTTGAGATTTTGTCAATTCATGTAATTAGTCAGAGGTCTATTATTTAATCTTTGTGTATTGGGAGATTTTACATTTATCTTTCTGTTATTTATTTGCAGTTGATTTCACTATGGTCTACGCACATTTACTGTATTATTTATATTATTTTAGATTTACTAAGAAGTGTTTTATGGTTCAGAATGTGGTTTGTCTTGGTAAATGATTCATATGAACTGAGAACAATGTGGTATTGTGTGAAATAGTTTATGGGTGTCAGTTATATCTAGTAGATTGATAGTGTTTTGAGGTCAACTGTACCTTTACTGATTTTCTGCCTACTGGATATGTCCCTTTGTGATAGAAGGATGCTGAACTCTACAACTATGACAGTGGACTCATCTATCTTTCCTTGCAGTTTTATCAGCTCTTGCCTCACATAGTTTGACTTCCTCTTGTTCCTCATACACATGTTAAGAATTGTTATATTTTGTCTGAGAATTGACACTCAAAATCCATGTACAGGAACACAAGTAAAAATAATAACTGTTGGAATTTGAAAAACTGTATAGCTAGATTTCTCTGCACTTTATAACTTTGAATAAACTGTGTTTTCATTTTCATTTAGTTGAAAATATTTTTAAAATATTTGCATCCTGCATCATGTCAATCTTTGTAACCTTAAATGTGGGGCTTAAGATTTCTCCTTAGGTAAGTCCTTGAAGAGCATTTGCTTCTAACATAGAACACAATAATCACAATTAAAAGTCTGATCCAAGATGTAGCTTCCTTCATTGATACATTGTTTCAATTTAGGAGGAAGTGTCTTTGCAATTCTTCATTTGCATACATGTTCTTCACTGTTAGGTTAACACTATGGAAAGCATGCAGTTCTAGAAGCCAGTAAATTAGCTATCTCTTGCACTAAAGAAAGTCTCTTCAATAGATTTTCAATTTTTAATTCAAAACTTACTCTTCAATTGTGAGATAAGTTGCCCTTGATTGCTTCAAAGCATCCACATATTGAAAAATTGTGTACCTACTGGCATAACTTTTACACTTTACTGATATTATTTTTCTATCTGCCAATGGGCTGTCAGATAATTCTTGTGAAAAGAATATTGGTTATAGCTGAATAAGGTGTGCTAAAACTCCAAGACTTCCTCGCTAAAGATGCTCTCTGCCAGTGTCTCCTAAGTCTCAGTCACCAGAACATACCACAACAAAAAATCAATTTTTCTGTTCCTGACAGGCAATTAAGAAACGCATCAATTCCGAGACATAGGATCTGAGACAAGAAATTTTAAGGCAAAGTCAGGAGACAGTGCCAAGATCCGGCAAGGATTCATGAGATATTTTATTCACTTATTCATGTATTCAGTGAACTAGTTTTGAGCATAAACAATTTATTAGGTGTTCAACAAAAGAGAGAGATTCACGGTTGTGTCTTCAATGCTGCCACTTACATTAGCTCCTTCAATTTTCACAGCAACCCAGCGAGGCAGATATTTCCCTTCATTCTATTTTGCAGGTGAAGAAGTTGAGCTACCTTGTAACTGAGAATGCAAATATGATGCACCTATAGAAGAAAATTAATTTCTGATTTTCCTCAGAATCATTTCAACAAAGCTCCTATGTATTCAGGGCATTGTCCCAGGCTCTCTCCTCCTCTTGCTTTGGCCAAGACTCTCTTTTCTCCAGCCTAAGTCCTTTGAATTTTGATTGACTTTTCTAATATTGCTGAGTTTTGATTGAGCTTTTTCCTAGCATGCTGCTTCTATTATGATCTTCTCAATTCGAAATAATACATCCAGTGCAAAAATGACACTCCATCCTCTGATTGTGTTTAAGGTCAGAGAAATTGCACCTGGCCCAGCTCCTAGTTTTCTAAAAAGTGATACTGGGCATAGATATATAATCACATAGCAGGGAATCTACAGATGTTAGTTTTCTTTCTTACTTGCTCCAAATTACACAACAACATGGCAGAGAAGTTTTAGGGACCTGTTTCTGTGTGAGTCTAGATTGTATGTCTATTTAGCAATACCATGCTTTGTTTCTTATATAATAAGGAATCAAAAGATGTGCAGGATATAGTTCCTATCTCTAAAAGTAGGAGAACTGATTTGATGAGGGAGGTGGGGAGAGTGCCATATGCTTGCCAAAAATTAATGCATTAATTGATGCTTTCAACTGTGGTGCTGGAGAAGGCTCTTGACAGTCCTTTGGTCAGCAAGGAGATCAAACTAGTCAATCCTTAAGGAAATCAACCCTGAATATTCAATGGAAGGACTGATGCTGAAGCTGAAGTTCCAATGCTTTAGTCTCCTGATATGAAGAGCCAACTCATTGGAAAAGACCCTATGCTGGAAACGATTGAGGGCAGGGGGAGAAGGGAGCCATATAGATGGTTGGATGGTATCATCAATTCAATGGACATGAGTTTGAACAAACTCCTGGAGAGAGTGAAGGACAGGGAAGCCTGGCGTGCTGCAGTCCATGGGGTCTCAAGGATTCAGACATGACTAACAACAACAAAATAATGCAATATACACTGAATGCTCAATTAGAATACAGGTTCTTAGAATAATCAGAGTCAGAAGAGCCAGATGTCACAAAAAGTTGACCAGATCAGAAAAAACCTTCCCAGAGTGGCTCAGAGGTTTGAACTAGGCCCTGAAGAATAATGTCCCAGGTTGTGAATGGGAAACTGGATAGTTTAGTCAATTCTCTCTACCTCAACCTCCACAGTTTTTACTGAGCTGGCCAAAAATTTTATTCAGGTTTTCCATATCATGGAAAAACCGAAATGAACATTTTGGCCAACATCATACATTATTTTTAAGTCCTCTTGTCCACATGTTATCATTTTGTTCTGTCTGAGATGTAGTCTTTGTTATTGAAACCCAAGTTGTGTGTCCAATGCACAGAAAGGCCAAACAATACCAGAACATCAGAGTCTGGAACAGAGAAAGGTGTATTGAGGACCCCGCAAGGAGATGGTGGTTCATGTCTTAAAAACCCCAAACTCCCCGAAAGCTCTCCGCAAAGCTCTTTTCTGAGTAAGGTGAGGGAGAGGTGTGTGAGTTGTTGACAAACATTTTTGGTGTCACAGTTTTTGTTCTTGAGGTCAGGTCATGGTCAGGACCTTTTTCCTGTAAATCTCCATCCAATGAAATTCTCCATTCTGAAAAGAAAGGGCCATGTCCCCAGGCACAACTTTCCCCCTCTGAGGTCCAGTCCTGGCTAAGAGGAGGCAGATCTCAGCTGGCAGTTCCCTCAGGGCCAGGCCCCCAGACCCTAAACTGCCATCCATGGTTGCAAGGAACCAGATGCCCAGGACCTAGCTGGCCCTCAGGCTCCTCAGGCTGCCCAAAATGGTGGAAGGGAGGGTCCAGGTCCCACAGACTGCGACCCATGCAGATGGCCGATGCCATGAGGTTGCAGAGGCAGGGATGAGGGAGAGGTTCATTCATTACTGCCTCAAGGCCTGGGCCCAGTGAGTGGGTGGCCTTGGCGAGGACTCTGGAGCCCTGTGGGACACAGCCCCCAGCCTCTTCCCTGGGCCCCCAGATCACCTGCTGGCCTGAGACCAGGCGAGTTGGAGGGCCCTGGGGAGAAGGCCGGGATCTACCTCTTACCTCACTCCCCGCCTGACAACCACCACTCCACCAACCGTTGACTGAATGGTCTGCTAATGGCCGCTCACTGACAGTTACTCACCTGGGGGGCGGAGCCCACTGTGGTGCCAACCAATGACTGAGCAGGACTACTAACGGTCACTCACTGACAGTTGCTTGCTTGGGAAAGGGGCCCTCTGTGGCACCCAATGGCTTAGTGACCATTAGTGGTCTCATGGTAACCGCTACCTGGTAATGGATTTGGGGTAACACTGCACAGCAATGCTGCATGCCAAGAGCTGCCCATGGCAGCGCTCTACTACAATCTCACAAACCCCCCCCCCCCCCAGTTATATTGTCTCCAGCAATCATTTCTAAATAGTATGGAAGTGGTGATTATTCCTAGACCATACAAGGAGATTATAACCAAGAGAAACTTGCTGTTCTTGGCTTTTCCCCACCAATTCTGAATACATCATATATGACTATGCTCTTAAAGCTTTCATTGCACTCGATCATCCATAGCTTTGAACTGCTGCAAACGCATCTCTGTCAGAGTCAACCCTGTGGTCTTGGAGTCAATGTTACCACACACTAATCCCTGTGGGTATTTTCTGACGTCCCTTTTAGGTTGTATAAGTAATGAATCATCTTTGAAACTACTGGGTTTTACTTTCTTCTCCTCCGAGGCTTCTTGCAGACTTTACTTTCCATTTGCCAAGAACTCCAGTAATTTAGGAAATTCAGCAATGTGCCCATTCACTCCAAGGAAAAGATTTTCCTATTTCCCCGTGAAGTCGTGTGTCTCTTCCTTCTCCCTTCTTGTGGCATATACTTCTGAAATCCAAGAAGTATCCCACGTTGGCATTGTTTGGAGCTATAAAGTACCTCAGGTGAGTTACAACACATTTTCAGTCCTTCATTTCTTCTATAAAGTTATAGAGAGTTGGACTGAATGAGTGGTTTTGCACAATAGTTAAAAGTCCAAAGCAGAGTTAGCCTTGATTTAAATCCTGTCTGACATATGAGCCTGAGTAAGCTTCTGACCTTTCTAAACTTTTATCTCTTGACTTGTAAAATGGAAAAAAAAAAGCAATTATAAAGATTAAATGAGAAACTTCATGTTGAATGCTTAGCACAGTGCTTTACATTTTCAGTTCACTCCAGTAGCTCAATCATGTCCAACTCTTTACAACCCCACGGACTTCACCACGCCAGGCTTCCCTGTCCATCACCAACTTCCGGAGTTCACACAAACTCATGTCCTTTGAGTCGGTGATGCCTCCAACCATCTCATCCTCTGTTGTCCCTTTCTTCTCCCACCTTCAATCATTCCCAGCATCAGGGTCTTTTCCAAAGAGTCAGTTCTTTGCATCAGGTGGCCAAAGTATTGGAGTTTCAACTTCAGCATCAATCCTTCCAATGAATAGTCAGAGCTGATTTCCTTAAGGATTGACTGGCTGGTTGGATCTCCTTGCAGTACAAGAGACTCTCAAGAGCTTTCTCCAACACCACCATGCAAAAGCATCAGTTCTCCGGCACTCAGCTTTCTTTATAGTCCAACTCTCATGTTTATACATGACTACTGGAAAAACCATGACTTTCACTAGACAGAACTCTCTTTGACTAGATGGACCTTTGTTGGCAAATGAATGTCTCTGCCTTTTAATATGCTCTAGGTTGGTCATAACTTTCCTGCCAAGGAGTAAGCATCTTTTAATTCCATGGCTGCAGTCATCATCTGCAGTGATTTTGGAGCCCAAGAAAGTAAAGTCTCTCACTGTTTTCAATGTCTCCCCATCTACTTGCCATGAAGTGATGAGACTGGATGCCATGATCTTCGTTTTCTGAATGTTGAGTTTAAAGCCAGCTTTTTCACTCTCCTCTTTCACTTTCATCAAGAAGCTCTTTAGTTTTTCTTCACTTTCTTCCTTAAGGGTGGTATCTACATTTCTGCATTTCTGAGGTTATTGATATTTCTCCCAGCAATCTTGATTCCAGCTTGTGCTTCATCCAGCCTGGCATTTTGCATAATGTACTCTGCATATAAGTTAAATAAGCAGGGTGACAATATACAGCCTTGATGAACTTCTTTCCCAATTTGGAACCAGTCTGTAGTTCCATGTCCAGTTCTAACTGTTCTTTCTTGACCTGCATACAGATTTCTCAGGAGGCAGGTCAGGCGGTCTGATGTTCCCATCTCTTTCAGAATTTTCCAGTTTGTTGTGATACACACAGTCAAAGGTTTTGGCATAGTCAATAAAGCAGAAGTAGATTTTTTTTAGAACTCTCTTGCTTTTTCGATGAGCCAATGGACGTTAGCAATTTTATCTCTGGTTCCTCTGCCTTTTCTAAATCCAGCTTGAACATCTGGAAGTTCATGGTTCACATACAATTGAAGCCTGGCTTGGAGATGTTTTTTTCTCTTTTTATTTTTTTATTTTTGGCTTGGAGAATTTTGAGCATTACTTTTCTAGCTTGTGAGATGAGTGCAATTGGGCAATAGGTTGAATATTCTTTGGCAATGCCTTTCTTTGGAATTGGAATGAAAACTGACCTTTTCCAGTTCTGTGGCCACTGCTGAGTTTTCCACATTTGCTGGCATATTGAGTGCAACACTTTCACAGTATCATCTTTTAGGATTTGAGATAGCTCAACTGGAATCCCATCACCTCCACTAGCTTTGGTCATAGTGATGCTTCATAAGGCCCACTTGAGTTCGCATTCTAGGATGTGTGACTCCAGGTGAGGGATCAAACCATTGTTGTTATCTGAGTCATGAAGATCGTTTTTTGTACAGTTCTTCTGTGTATTCTTACCACCTCTTCTTAATATCTTCTGCTTCTTTTAGGCCCATACCTCTTTGGTCCTTTATTGTGCTCATCTCTGCATGAAATGTTCCCTTCGTGTCTCTAATTTTCTTGAAGAGATAGCTAGTCTTTCCCATTCTATTGATTTCCTCCATTTCTTTGCATTGATCACTGAGGAAGGTTTTCTAACCTCTCCTTGCTATTCTTTGGAACTCTGCATTCAAATGAGCATACCTTTCCTTTTCTCCTTTGTCTTTTGCTTCTCTTCTTTTCTCAGCTATTTGTAAGGCCTCCTCAGACAACCATTTTACCTTTTTGCATTTCTTTTTCTTGGGGATGGTCTTGATCACTGCCTCTTGTACAATATCATGAACCTCCATCCATAGTTCTTCAGGCACTCTATCAGATCTAATCCCTTGAATCTGCTTGTCACTTCCACTGTATAAACATAAGGGATTTGATTTAGGTCACACCTGAATGGTCTAGTGGTTTCCCCTACTTTCTTCAAGTTAAGTCTGAATTTGGCAATAAGGAGTCCATGATCTGAGCCACAGTCAGCTCCCGGTCTTGCTTTTGCTGACTGTGTAGAGCTTCTCCATCTTTGGCTGCAGAGAATATAATCAAGCTGATTTCGGTGTTGACCGTCTGGTGCTGTCCCTGTGTAGTCTTCTCTTGTCTTATTGGAAGATGGTGTTTGCTATGACCAGTGTGCTCTCTTGGCAAAACTCTGTTGGCCTTTGACCTGCTTCATTTTGTACTCCAAGGGCAGATTCGCCTGTTACTCCAGGTATCTCTTGACTTCCTACTTTTGCATTCCAGTCCCCTATAATGAAAAGGACATCTTTTATGGGTGTTATTTCTAGAAAGTCTTGTAGGTCTTCATAGAACTGTTCAACTTCAGCTTCTTCAGCATTACTGGCCGGGGCATAGACTTGGATCACTGTAATATTTAATGGTTTTCCTTGGAAACAAACAACAATCATTCTGTGATTTTTGAGATTGCAGCTAAGTACTGCATTTCGGATTCCTATTTACTATGATGGCTACTCTATTTCTCATAAGGGATTCTTGCCCACAGTAGTAGATAAAATAGTTATCTGAATTAAAGTCACCCATTCCAGTCCATTTTAATTCACTGATTCCTAAAATGTCAATGTTCATTCTTGCCACTTCCTGTTTGACCATTTTCAATTTGCCTTGACTCAAGGGCTTAACATTCCAGGTTCCTATGCAATATTGCTTTTTGCAGCATCGGACTTAACTTCTGTCACCAGACACATCCACAACTGGGTGTTGTTTTTGATTTGGCTTGATCTCTTTATTCTTTCTGGAGTTATTTCTCCACTGGTCTCCCGTAGCATATTGGGCACCTACTGACCTGGGAAGTTCATCTTTCAGCATCTTATCTTTTTGCCTTTTCATGCTGTTCATGGGGTTCTCAAGGCAAGTATACTGAAGTGGTTTGTCATTCCCTTCTCTAGTGGACCATGTTTTGTCAGAACTCTCCACCATGACCCATCCATCTTGGGTGGCCCTACATGGCATGGCTCATAGTTTCATTGAGTTAGACAAGGCTGTGGTCCATGTGATCAGCTTGGTTAGTTTTCTGTGATTGTGGTTTTCATTCTATCTGCCCTCTGATGGATAAGGATAAGAGGCTTATGGAAGCTTCCTGATGGGAAAGACAGACTGAGGGGGAAATTGGGTCTTGTTCTGATGAGTGGGGCCATGCTCAGATGGGTAGGGTTGTGTTCCCTCCCTGTTGTTTGACCTGAGGCCAAACTACGCTGGAGGTAATGAAGATAATGGTGACCTCCTTCAAAAAGTCTCATGCAAGCTCTATGGAACTCAGTGCCCCCGACCCTGCAGCAGGCCACTCTCGACCCATGCCACCACCGGAGACGCCTGGACACCACAGCCAAGTCTGGGTCAGCCTCTTGTGGGGCTACTGCTCCTTTTTCCTGGGTCCTGGTGTGCACAAGGTTCTGTTTGCGCTCTCCAAGAGTCTGTTTCCCCAGTCCTGTGTAAGTTCTGGTGGCTCTGTGGTGTGATTAATGGCAACCTCCTCCAAGAGGAAGTGCTTTACACATTGAATATACTAAATATTGACTCCTTATTCTGATTCATGTGTTCATCAAGTATTTATTAAGGACTCCCTGCTCTCCTCTATTCCAGTCACTGAATATAAAGGGGTGAATAAGACTATCATAGTCTCTGTTTGTTAGATAGTTATAGTTCCTTTAGTTGGTTAATGACATGGATGACCCAACACCT